GGGGTGGTTCATTAAACTCTGCTGTTTAATGTAATGTATGCTTGTAAATAAATAGTTTAATTAATTAATTAATTTATTTATTTTAAAGCCCTTGGTTTAAAACAAAGCAAAACTTGGAGATATTTTCTTTCTTAAAGTCAATGGAAAATAATAAGCAGCATTAAAGCTCTCTTTTGTGGGCCCTGCTTATGGAAATCTTGGAAGCAGAGATATTCTATAATCACTGGTCCCAGATGCTCTATAGAATCTTGGAGTCTGTATCCTACAAAGCATGGTTAAGAACATATTTGTGAAGCTCCTCAAAAACAGTAACACGATCCAAACCTGGGTAACTGACCCTCCCTGATATGGTTTGGTTGTCTCCTCACCCAAATCTCATCTTGAATTGTAGTTTCCATAATTCCCTCATGTTGTGGGAGGGACCCAGCGGAGATAAATGAATCATGGGGGCGGCTCCCCCACACTGCTCTTGTGGTAGTGAATAAGTCATGAGATCTGATGGTTTTATGAGGGCAAGCCCTTTTCACTTGGCTATCATTCTCTTGTCTGCCACCATGTGAGGCATGCCTTTTGCCTTCTGCCATGATTGTGAGACCTCCCAGTCACATGGAACTGTGAGTCCACTAATTCTTTCTTTTGTAAATTGCCCAGTCTCAGGTATGTCTTTATCAGTAGCATGAAAACAAACTAACACACTTCCTAAAAAGGATGATGATTTTATGTCTTAAATCCTGGAGGTTCAAAAAGAAGAAACTATTTTAGCCTGAGAGATAATAATTGTAAATTTTCTGTGAATCTTCTAAGAGGGCTTCTCAAAAAAGAATGTGAAATTCCTTTCTTAACTCTCATCCTGCTGCCTTAAACTAGACTGTGATGACTGGAACTCTGGCAGCTACCACAGCACAGGGAGATGAGAGCCATACCATAAAGAATCTGGTGCTGTGAAGTAGGAGCATCTGGCCTGCCTACTTTCACACTTCTTTCTACGTGAAAAAAAAAAAAAAAAAAAAACAAGCAGTATCTCATTTAAGCTACTGTGTTATTTTGGTTTCTTTTCTATTACATATAGCCAAATCTGATCCTAAGTTATAAATCTTTCCTCTTGTACATAAAGAGCTAAATACAAATACCTGAAAACAGTGATGTATCAGAAGTTACGTCTGAGTTTAGTCTTTAGAGGCGAGGGTTGTGATGGGTATTATGAAAGATAAGATCCAAGAACATAAGAGATCAAGGGAAAAAACTTGTTTTTAATATATTTAATTTGAGATTCTGATGAGGTAAGTGGCATAGAAAGGTCTTTTAACCTGGTAACAATGCTAAGCATTAAAAAATTTAAGAGGTATGTAGGCTGGTTTCTGCACCCACATATTTTTCAGATAAAACTATAGGAAGCATTTAACCTTCTAGTAAGTCTAAACAGTACAATTTTCCTTCTTCTTCTTTCCTCTTCTAATAACAACCAATAACTTAAACAGTTATACAAATACACATTTTTATAATAAAAACAGCTTATAATAAAAACACTGTCACAAAAAGGACCACCAACTATTAACTCTTACATCAAAAGGGAGTGGAGAAGAAAAATTCATATTAACAACTCTATCTCCCCTAGTCAACCCTCTACCTCCCCTCAAAAAAAACCTGTCTGTGGAAAATTAACATAATTAAGCTCTGAACTTCCTAGCAATTAAAGGCCTCTATCCAGTTCTCAAAGTGTGAAAGACTAAAAAATAATAATAAGGAATGGCATTTTTTTTGTCTGACCCTAAATTCTAAGAGGAATTCATCACCACAATGACAGCTAGCAAAATATTATATAATGTGTGTGACAGCAGTATAATCCAATCTCAAGATAATCCTATCTTAAATTATTGTAAAATTTTAAGAAATCATATAATGCACAAGTTTTAAAAGCAATTCTAACTACAGGTAAATGTAGTGACTGCTAAATACCTAGTTATTTGGTTTCCCAAGGGCAAAGTCCATGTTTTAGTCATCTTTATGTCTCCAGCACTTGGCAAAGAAGCATAGCAACCTGGCACACAGTAGGTACTTATTAAGTATTTCTTGAACTGAATTAGGCAATGAATTTATGAAATTTGCTTAATAAATTTGCTCACCAAGAAACTCTTCTTTAATGATATTACTTTAAGGCATGATTATTTACAATATTATACATTTTTACATTGGTGATATCTTAAATTTATTCTATTTATTTAGCCATTATTAAGCACATCAGTTTTCTTTACTCACTTTAGAATACAGTTTCTTGACTCTGCTTCTACTGAATTAAATTTACTAGGTTTGGTTAATTCGTGTATTGTATCCTCTTTCAACATGAACTTTGCCTTCTGCTGAAAGCCAGTGCCAACAGTGACTTCTGACAAGAAGGATGACGCACCACCTATAGCTTTCAGACACTGACACAACAGGTCCTTTACTCTTAACTAAAATATTTTTCTCCTTAGATTAAATATTGATTATAGAAACAAAATTCCTTCTCTATGCCAAGTTTCCTTCTCTTTTAGCTTTTCAGGTTTATGTAATAACTAAGCTTATAAGTAAAAGGTATATTTAAATAACATATTTAAGTATTTTGAAGACATAATAAAACAAAGTAATTTTAAAAACATTTCAAAATGTAATGCTACTAATATGATTAGAAGAGTACAATCAGGAGTAAACCAGCATGATCCAAGGCAACTGTTTCCCTGGACTAAGAAAAACTAACCAAAGTGACACAAAAGGCCTAAAGGATTTGAAATTAATTTTACAAAGAGATTAATTTTCATGAGACTATTTAACAGGTTTAGTTTTTAAGCTCTATAAACACAAATGATTAAATTAGTGGACACAGCCTAACCCCCAAAAATGTAACATTCAGGCCGGGCGCGGTGGCTCAAGCCTGTAATCCCAGCACTTTGGGAGGCCGAGGCGGGTGGATCACGAGGTCAAGAGATCGAGACCATCCTGGTCAACATGGTGAAACCCCGTCTCTACTAAAAATACAAAAAATTAGCTGGGCATGGTGGCGCGTGCCTGTAGTCCCAGCTACTCAGGAGGCTGAGGCAGGAGAATTGCTTGAACCCAGGAGGCGGAGGTTGCGGTGAGCCGAGATCGCGCCATTGCACTCCAGCCTGGGTAACAAGAGCGAAACTCCGTCTCAAAAAAAAAAAAAAAAAAGTAACATTCAAAAATATCTAAAGTTTTGCAGTTAAATATGTAATTACCTTGAGAAGTTAAACAGAATTACCATATGATCCAGCAATTCCACTTCTAGCTATACATCCCCCAAAAAAGAAAAAAACGTGTTAAAAAAAATTTTTTTTTTTTTTTTTTTTTGAGACAGTCTCACTCTGTCACCCAGGCTGGAGTGCAGTAGTGCGATCTCAGCTCACTGCAACCTCCACCACCCGGGTTCAAGAGGTTCTCACGCCTTTGCCTCCCAAGTAGCTGGAATTACAGGTGTGTGCCACCATCCCGGGCTAATTTTTGTATTTTTAGCAGAGACAGGCTGGTTGTGAGCTCTTGGCCTCAAGTGATCCACCATGCCTGGCCTCAAACATATATGAATGTTCATGGCAGCACTATTCACAATAGCCAAAAGGTGGTAATAACCCAAATGCCCATCAACTGATGAATGAACAAAATGTTGTACATTCATACAATGGAATATTACTAAGCCATCAAGATAAATGAAGTACTAATACATGCTATAACATGGATAAACTTTGAAAACATGCTAAGTGAAAGAAGCTAGACACAAAATGCAATATAATGTATAATTTCATTAATATGAAATATCCAGTATAGGTAAATCCATGAAGACAGAAATCAGATTAGTGGTTTCCAGGGGTTCTTCAAAATATTTAAATATGTTATTTAAAGAAGAAGGAGAAAATAAGAAAGTGACTGTTTATAGGCATACAGTTTCCTTTGTGGCTGAAGAAAATGTTCTGGAACAATACTAAATGACACTTCAGCTGTACATTTTTAAATTCCTTCAATAGTAAGTTTTATGTGAATTTCATGATTAAAAAATATTATTAGTTCAAAACTCAGTGCTATTATAATTATGCTTATTAATGATATTGTTTTACTTTTTACAGAATGTCATAATTTGCATGAAATATCATAATTTGCCTATATATATATGTTTAAATGATTATTTCATACCCTTAGGTAAAAGGATTTATCAAAGATAAAGCTAGAGTTTATACAAACAATGTCTTCCTCAGGAATAAGGCTTTTATACACCCATAGATGTTCATTCTACTGTAACTTTTAATAAACAAAATAAAACTAGTTTTCTAATACAGAAGATGTTAACTATATGACAGAATATTTTAAATGCTGTCTTCAAGTGAAAACTACAAAGTCCAAGGAGCAATAATTAAAACGTTGCTAATATAATACTAATGTTGTTAATATAATAGTGTTATATTAATGCTAACTTAAAATGAGACTATATTTTCAATAACTCTACAATTACTACTATACCAAAATATGTATGCATACAGATAGGGTAAAGGCACTAAGGCTGACAGTTTGCTCTATTTTTCAAATTTTTATTTGTATCATCACTTCAATTTTTTAAACCATTTTCAGAGTGTTTTCCCCATATCTTTACCTCTTAGTGACTAAAACACTGAAAAGAACAGACCCACAAGAATTTTAAAAAACACTTTTTCACTGTCATATTTTTAGCTATGATTACTATTTACTAATAAAAGAAAAAACATTGTCTGTTATTAGCACAAAAAATATCCATCAGACTTATTGCTATATTTACTTCTCTTTCTCTTTTTGAGACAGCATCTCACTATTGCTCAGGCTGGTCTCAAGCTCGTGGGCTCAAGCAATCCGCCTGCCTAAGCCTCCCAAAGTGCTGGGATTACAAGCGTGAGCCACCACACTCAGCCTATTTGTCTCTATAATTTCTACAATATTCAAAACATATAGTATATAATCAAAGAATCTGAATTAAAAAGACATACCTTTGCGTAAGGGTTGTGGCATCATTAAGATCTGGATGAGCAAAAGGGATGTTACATCATGATAAAGAATTGGAACCTCAGGCTGTTGTTCTTCATTTCCCAGCCTAAAAGGAAAATGTAGTCACTTTAGACAGTATTGTATATCTTCTATTTCTAATGTATTTTATATGTCACATATATATCTATGGAACAGAAATAAAAACTTTAATAAACAACCAAAAAATTTCAAAAAAAAGAAAAACCTGGATGTCGTATTTTGCCAAAAAATTACATTTTATTAGACTCATATTCTCCTGACTCTAACATGAAAAAAAATACATAGAAAATATGTTGTTATTAAAGTAAACAATTAGGATACATTAACTTGATTATGAGTCTGATCTCTTAGATTACAGAAATTAAATAAAGCATTAAATACATTAAATACTACAAAATGGAGTGGCTTATAGGATACTTATCACAAACTTAGCACTAACAAATAAGTAAGTTTCACATTATTATAAAAAGATAGGTACAGTTTCCAAATCAATTCATGTCGAAAAGGTATGGTTAATTTCTCTTATTAAAATGTTGTTTCAGCTGGGCACAGTGGCTCATGCCTGTAATCCTAGTACTTTGTGAGGCTGAGGTAAGCAGATCGCCTGAAAAGTTTGAGACCAGACTCACAACATGGTGAAAATCTGCCTCTACAAAAAATATAAAAATTTGGCAGGGCTTGGTGGTGTGTGCCTACTTGGAGAGCTGAGAGGGGAGGATTGCTTGAACCCAGGAGGTTGAGGCTGCAGTGGGCTGTGATTGTGCTGCTACATTCCAGCCTCGGCAAAAAAGTGAGACCCTGTCTCAAAATTAATAATAAAATAAAATATTTCAACTTTATAACTAATGCAATTCAAATAAAATCTTTAACATTTGAAAAGTTTCAAAAAGAAAATAACCAAAGCAGAACTTAAAATACACTATAATAGGGACAGATGTGGTGTCTCATGCCTGTAATCCCAACAGGCATGGGAGGCTGAGGTGGGAGAGTCACTTGAGACCAGGAGTTCGAGACCCACCTGGGCAACAGAGTGAGATCCCATCTCTACAAAAAATAAATTCTAAAAAGTACACGATAAAGGACACAGTACTAAACCTTAGGGATGTGCAGTGCTATGAAAAATATAGACTATATTATAAAACAGAGCTTATTCTAAAATAATTTTTAAGTACCTTTAGAAGGTTCATTTTTTGACTACAGGTTTAATTTTTAATGACAGAGAACAAAAGTAAATCCTAAGCTCCAGAACTGGCTAAATTCTGAACCTACACTTTAGACTTGGGATTAGCAAAACTGTTCAACTCTTTTACTAGGCTCAATCATTCAGCAAATACTTACTGATTACTTACTACAGGTCAGGCACTAAACACATTGGTGAGTAAATCAAACCCTGCTGCTCAGAAACTTTTAGCTGACAGAGGAAGACAGCTCTTTGAATTTCTCCAATTTCTACAAACATTCCTTAGTATACTCGTTTTCCTCTTCAAGGGTAACCCTTCATTAATGCTATGAATCCTCATATTGTCTTTCAAGTTTTTCTAGCTTCTCTGCAAGGCTCAGGTTTAAAAAAAAAAAAAAGTGTGGGGGTCACACCATTTCAGTTATTCAAATTCCCCACAGAAATAGTTTCACATGATCAATAGTGATCTCCTAATTACAAAATTTAGTCACTATTTTAAATCCTTATCTTACTGACCTTGACTTGACTTTAGGTATAGTTGAACATTCTGCCTGGAAAATTGTCTTGCCTTTTGTGAAACACTGTCCCAAGTTCCCTTCTCTCTCTCTGATTACTCCACTTTAGTCTTCTTCACAGGTTTATCTTCCTCGACTAACCAAAAATACTATCATTCCTCAAGATTCCAATTCTCCCTTTCTTTTCTCATAAGGACTCTTTTTGAAAGACTTTCTAATTCATGATTTCAACTGCCAGCTATACACTGATGACTCCCAAATCTGTATGCCATGACTCTCTCGAACTCTTTATCTGAATATCCATTATTTCCACTTGTATATACAACAGTCAGGCAGCTCAACAGGTCTGAAAGTGAACTCCTCATCTTTCTATACACACACTCCCACCCCAGTCACAACCATTCTATTAGGCTGGTGCCAAAGTAATTGCTGTTTCTGGCATGAAAAGCAATGGACCAAGCTAATACTTTCCCCTCTATAATCTAAGTCTTGATGTAGCTTATTTCTTATATCCTCCTGCATTTACACCATGGCTGAAACATAATGCCTAAAATGTAATAGTTCCCCAATAAAAGCATAATGAATAAATAAGCTAAGAATTTGAGGACATCCCAAGGCCATCTTCTCTTATGGACCCCATATTTAATTGGCACTAAGTTCTAATGACTTTAACTCCACTTCCTCTTTGCGACCCCTATGGCCACTGCCTGTAACTATTCAATCTTCTCCAATTTTATGTTCCTCTAATTAATCCTCTATGTCGTTGGTGCCTGGAAGAAGCTTCCACAGGAATGACATCTTGCTTATCATTATATCCCAATGTCTGGATTAAAACAGTTAATAAAACTAACTGGATAAACAAATGAAATATTCATGGAAAAATGGATGGATGAAAATGAACAGGTGGTATATAATTTCAGATTATCAAATTGCCACATTAAATTTAGCATGTGTTTAAAAGATTCTCACTTAAAATTAAAAGAAAGTTTATGGATCCTTTTAAGCTAGCCCAATTTCACTCTTATGCAAAGATGCATTTTACTGCACAAAAAAAAAAAGGTTTGAGAACTTGTTGCATCATAACCTAAAGACCAACAAACTGCAGACCTTTTAGGTATAGAAAAGAAAAGCTTTCCCAAATAAATATTGTTTAATAAAATAGGGGTAGTATATGCAACTGAAAAGCTGAAAGTGCTTAACAAAATTCTAGACTCTCATTTTACATTATATGCTAACAATTTCTTTCTACAATAGAAGCAATCTTTCTCAAAACTGGAGGTGGATTCCTTTATGCTATTATTATTTATTTGCTTATTATTGTATGTGACCTTCCAAAATTACTTAAAATCAGTCCAAATTGTTGTATGCAAGAATTATATACTACTAAGAATGCATAATTAGCAAATGCTTCAAAACTGAAACTATTATATACATACAATAAAACAAAAAATTAATTAAAAAGATGAGAAATATTTCTAGTTGAGGGAACAGCATATTATAAAGCTAACTACTTTCCCAGATTAATTTATGAGTTTAAAATAATTACAATCAAAATTACAAGTGAGGCTGGGCATGGTGGCTCATGCCTGTAAGTCCAGCACTTAGGGAGGCCAGGGTGGGTAGATCACCTGAGGTCAGGAGTTTGAGACCAGCCTGCCCAATATGGTGAAACTCCGTCTCTACTAAAAATACAAAAATTAGCCAGATGTGGTGGCGTATAACTGTAGTCGCTACTTGGGTGGCTGAGACAGGAGAATTGCTTGAACCCAGGAGGTAGAGGTTGCAGTGAGCTGAAATCATGCTACTGCACTCCAGCCTGGGCAACAGAGCAAGACTCCATCACAAACAAACAAACAAACAAAAATTACCAGTGAGGGGAAGGGTTTAGAAATGTTCTAAAAAATTCTGGAGAAAAAGTGAGAACAGCAAAGAAAAACTGGGAGGCAGAGTTTGGGGAAGAGTAATGAGAGGAACCTAACTCAACCACATAATTAGACATAATAAATCACCTCAACAATAAACCAGCATTGTATTGTCAGAGAAATAGGCTTCTAGCTCAATAGAACAAAGAAGAAAGCTCCTAATCAGGCCTATAATGTAGAAACAGTTAGTATTTTAGTAACTAGGATATAAAATCACTATAAAAAAAAAAAACTAGTTAGTTATTTGCACACAGATTTTAGATCTTCACCTAACACTACAGGTGAGAATAAATTCCAAGTATATTATATAGTTTTAAAAATCATTCCATAAGAAAACTCTAAAGTGAAAATAAAGGTAAATATTACAAATCTTAAGACTGGATTATATATTGTAATACTAGTTATAAAAGTAAACATTAGATCTTAGAAGAGATGGGCATTCCTAGTATGAAAGTAATAGGAAAAAATAAGAAATATAACATCTGACTGATCCGGCTATGTGAAAAATTAAAACTTCAATGTGTGAAGAAAACGAATTACAAAAAGTGAAGGCAAACGTATTTTGAAAAAAATTTCAACAACTACGACAAAATAAGATTTAACATGTTATACCATGAAGAATAATTCATATAATTTTAAAAAATAAGATACCAACAGAAATGGACAGAGGTCCTGAATATATCATTCACAAAGAGTGTATACAAATAGCTAATAAATACAAAAATACTTAACTTTGCTAAAACTCAAATAAATTCCCATTAAAGATCCCATTTTTCATCAATCATATTAGCCAAAAAATGTTTAAGTGATAATACTTTTTTTGGTAAGTTTTTTTCCCCAATAACAATCAGAAAAAAACCTGGCAGTTATTGGGTGATAAGATTAAAACAGCCATTCCAAGGATAGAGAGAGAAATGGCTCTTTCCTGGCACATCACTGGCCTATAACTGGAATGAATGAATGGACTGATATACCCCTCTACAGAAAAGAGAATCAAAGATTTCAACTACAGGGTTTAATATGATCACTGTGATAACTATCTTTTAAAAATGCTTAATATATTAAAACACCTAATTCTTTTCACTTAAGATCAGGAACTAGGCAAAGATGTCCCCACTCCCTACTTCTTTTCAACATCATACTGGAAGTATTAGCTAATGCAGCAAGATAAGAAAAGGAAATAAAAGTTTACAGATTGAGAGAAAAGAATAAAACTGGCTTTGTTTACAGATTACTTGGTCATCTACGCAGAAAATCTGAACGAACTAACCAAAAAAACTCCTGAAATTGGTGAGTGATTATAACAAGGCTGCAAGTTACAAGGTTAATATATAGAAGTCAATCACTTTCATATATAATGGCAAGGAACAAGTAGAATTTGAAAATAAACACACAGTATCATTTAAATTGGCACCCCCCCAAAATAAAACACTTAGGTATAAGTAAAATA